AGGAAGAGCTCGAAGTCGCTTGGGGATGTTGGTGGGAGATTGTTGGGGGTGATGAGTTCTTTCTGTTTACCCTTTACAATGTTGAGGGGGCGGGGAGTGAGTGTCTCTACTTTTGTGTTGTCGAGTGGACTGGGTTGAAGCTTGGGAGGGCCGTATGTGGCTTCAGGGGGTGGGTGGTTGGCCTTCTGCCCGGTGGCTACAGCGGAGGCGTGACTGATTGGAACGTGTGCTGCGGCTTGCGATTCCTTGACTGGATCTTGGGCTACCTTGTAAGGGCGAGGGCTTTCTGAGCCTGGTTGCTGCTTCAGAGGAGGTTTCTGTCGAGAAGGGGTCTTGGGTTCGGCTGAGACTTGGGTTGGACCCTCGTTATGTTGTTTGCTCGTTTGTCGTACGACAGGGGTCACCGAGTCTGCCTCATTCTCCATCAGGGGTTTGAGAGGAGGGGGGGAGGTCTCCTTGGAAGGCTCTCGTCTCTCATCGCTGACCCACTGCGTATTCGAGGTGCGACAGGCGAGACCACAAGCCGGGAAAAGTCAGCGGCGGCATGCTGGGGCTGGTAGATGAACCGAGGTTTCGTCTCCTGTGGCGGCGACGAGGACGGTGGTGGTTTCTGCCATGACCTCAATCGATCTCGGAAGCTGGCCTTCTTCTTCAGTTGGGGAAGCGGGTGCGAAAGTGAGGTGGTATGCATCTCGGCAATGCTTTGCTGTCGTGGTTGGCTCTCGATTATAGTGGACAGTTGCGGCTGAGGTTGTTGTGTAAGAGGGCCTGCATTTGTCCGCCGTCCCAGGCGTTGTCGGGGTACTTGTTCCGCTGTGGCCGAGACCGTTGTTCTGACTCTCACTGTCAAGGGAACAACACAGGGTACGGACAGAGTTGACACAGTGCTGTCTGTCTCGTCCGGCTTTGGAGGGCCAGTATGAACTGGATTTATACTAAGCTCTCTTGAGCTCCTTGTTCGTCGCAGAAAGCGGCCAAAGAAGCCCGAGTCGCGGTTGTTGGGCGGAGGCGGGCTTCTAATACCTGGCCGACTGCTGGTACCGGGCGAGGCAGAGCCATCCGGCTCCGCTGTATCGCTGGCCATGCCCATGTCGCCTACCCCCTGTCCCCTGTGCCCCCGGTCGTGTTGGGCTTGGGATGTCCCGGATGGTTGTGTGACGTCGGCTGGTGGTCAAGATGATCTCTCGGGAGTATCAAATGTCGTTAGTGCAATGCTTCTTTCTGCCCCTGTCTGTCAAAATTTTGTTTCACCTGCATCGAGCTGCCTGGTCTTTTGACGAAGCTGTAGATGGGAATGGTGATGGGTGATGGGATGTTTTTCTTTTCTCAACCACGTCCACCCCACGGCTGGACTCTACGCTGCCCATGGTGGCTGATGGTATTCACCTCGGTACCTAACCTTATGCTTTGTCGGAAGAAGGACACGGGCAAATCGAGGAATCAGACCCGCGTTCGATGCCATGCACCCATCTTCCATGCACCCATCTTGGCTTGTGTTAGTGGGGTAGTATCCCTGCACTGAGCAAAAATACCATGCTCAGGTTGTTTTGGCAGTTGGCACAGCTGACTGTTCCAAGTTTTTGAGCAGTAAAGCCCCCTGACAAATGAGAGAGAACTCGTTCTTCCCACAGACAGGTGATTGTGCAGCCCGTCAACGAATGGGTGATCGGAATGGAACAGGGAGTCGGTTGGGATCGCATCCAACGGGTTGCTGCAGCTGACAGGCTCGCCCGTGTCAAATCCCATATGGGAGAGATACCAACAGCCAAAGTGCTACGCGAGAGGCCGTCGCGATCCTTGTGACCCAGCAGCCGTCAAAGACAATGGACAATGAATATTGTCGAGCCGCAGTCCCCGCTAAGACGCGCCCATGTCTTTGGGTTTACCATATCAAGGTAGGAAGGACATGGGGCGCAACCCGGCAAGGTCGTACTGGTTCCTCCCCCCTCGTGTGCTCAAGAACTCTGCATGTAGTACGCGAGCTAGTGCGCACTACTGTCAAGACGGGTGATCTTGGCGCGCCCGACGATAGCGTTGGTCGTTGGGTTCCACTTCTGGCATTTATTTATTCTCAGTTTTTATTTATTCTCAGTTTGAACTTCAGTCGATGCATCACTGGCAAAATGTGATTCCGAATCGTGCAAAAGTGGACTGGTAGAAGAGAAACCCTTGGTATTGTCTGCATCTGGCCAAGGTGATGAAGCAGAAGCGATAACGTGCTCGACAGCGGCTTGTGTGGACTGTGGCGCACCCTCCCTCTTTCCAGTCTCCAGCGGTTGAGGTGGCCAGGAATGGAAGATTTGCCGACGACTGGGCACTATTGAGCTGTCCTATTGAGCTGTCTGGCAAAGACATGGTGTACTCATTGGGGTGACAGAATGCAGGAGTGGTAAACGAGGATTGGTGGCAGCTTTGCATCTGTCGGCAGCTCCTAGTTTGTCGGCAGCTCCTAGTTCCCATCTCCCAGTTCCCATTTCAGTGAGTGAAGATTTTGATTGACAAGTTGCGGTGTCTGTCTCTGATCTTGGCCAAAAGTGCGGGGTCTCCATTGGATTGGGGGAGGAACATGAAAGCGGGGTAAGATACGTATTCCCCCTGCTGTCGCAAAACCCCTGCTCCACCTCGTCTGGCACCAGCCGTCGGCCAGGAAAACCACGACAGAGTTTGATTGACGCGACAGGTCTGCATGTGCCAGAACCGAGCCGAGTCTCGGCGAGACAATCTCATTGTCGTCGCCTCCTAAAGATTGGGGGAAATCCACCTGGAGAAGTTGAGAAGTTGAGAAGTTGAGAAGTTGAGATTCAGCTTTTTCAGCGATCGACAACCTCTCGACCTTCTGGGCCGCCGATTGATCGACCCCGTCGTTTCCCAGGCTCGGACTGCTGTCATGCACCGACACTCGGTTGGCCGATTGCCCATCCCGACTGCAACCACGGTAGCCCATCCTTGCCATGTTTGATTGAACCTCTTTCAATCTCCTCCCCCATCTTGGTTGGACTCTTTGCCAAGAAGTTGGGTCAACCATGGGTGCGATTGTCAAGCTGCCAATCACCCGTCACCCCTCCTTCATTTCAGCCTCCTATTTCCGCCGCCTACCCAAGACACCGTCGTGCGACCTCGGAACTGGCAGCACAAAAGCCCCCTATGGTTGTTGACCTGCTCGATATCCAACAACCTCCATCCCGGGAACTGGCTGGGACCTGGCCCTTGTCTCTATCTACTCAGATCAAAACATCCGTTGGGACATCGGGACCGCAGTGTATGATCGCTCCCTCCCTATTTTCCGACGTGCAGCCATCAAGCGGAGGGTGATTTGAGTCAGTAGGGCCGGATCCGTGAGGTCGGAAACATGGACGCCAGATGGCCTGACTATCACCAGATATTTGCTGCAAAGTTGCAATGATACGAGGCTGTGGCGGCTCATCTGTGTCACCGGCCAAGGGTCTGGATATGCAACTGCGGCCGCGCCGCCGCGCGACGATATGCAAAACCCCGATGGCTCTGGCCTATCTGGTATCACTGCCAGGGTCACCCTGGTTGTTGTGGCTTCAGCCCCCGAATAGCAGACATGGAACTGGCGAATATCGTGCCGATATGCGGAGGTCTGCGTCGCATGGTTGGATGGCATTGTGCTGAATTCCATGTTCTTGTCGACGGCGGGCCGTTCTTGGTGCGGCTTCCCGATGAGAAATCAAGGAATAAGGTAGCCTTTCGCCTGCTGAGCCTTTTGTCGACGAAACGGATGCATTGGATCACGGTTCACCGAGCATGAGATCACACGCTGAGGGTCGGATATACACTAACTGCAGGGCAGGCTTGTGGTCTCCGATGACAAGGCTTTGGTCAACATACGACTGACAGGCCGTGTGAGGATGCAAATCATAAGGCTTCAAGGATTCGGAGCCGTTGCATACGAATGAGCATACTGACATGCCCATGTTCTGACGACCCCCACATCTGCTGAGTTTCTTCTGCTCAAAGGCGCGATAGTGGTAGAGAAACTTGTTCCACGTGGCGTCCCGGGGATTGGATGTGCGCCCGCTCAGATGTCTGAACAAGGCAGCCAAGCATCAGAACTCTGTGGACCGGGTCACGCGGCATAATGTTGAAGAAGATTTTTGATTTTAAACAGAGACCATACCGACTTGACTGTCGCGATGTGCAAGTGTGCAGAAGGCTGCGGCCAGATTTCACTGTCACAGAGAGACGAAAACACAGTACTGCATGTGCTAATCTCGCCACTCGCTGGCACGATAGACAATGCTAGAGAGAAGCATTAAGGGATGGCACCAGTTTCTTTACATACCTGGCTAAGAACACCCAAGACAGACAAGTCAGCCAGCCTAGAGAGTCGGGAGGTGGTTTGAGAACCATTAAAGTACCTTACAAAGAGCTTGGATAAAGCTGTTCATGTCAGAATGATGCCTGGAGAATTATGTCCGTCTCTAAACCTGGGTATGATTAATACGCTCCGCTCAGCCATGCTGTATGGACAAAGCTATTAGTGAGAATGACATGTCAAGGGAATACAAACAGCGCAGGCCTTTTCGACGCAAATGGTTTATCCAAAATGTCCTACTCATCGCAACACACACTTTTAAGGATGTTAGTGGATTTTTATGTCTAATGAACCATTATATTTAAGTTAGATAATTATTCAACTATATTTCCTTTTATCAAGTGTTGCACATTCATGACTAGCCGTTGAGGTTGTGGTTTTCCTCAATTAGGCCCGCGAATAAGACGTCTCACGTCATTCGCCAGGCGTCCATTTTCCGTTTGGTGGAAACGTTAAAACCCAATAAAACAGTTCCAACAGGTGGTGAAACGAAGTTTAACGTAAATTGAAGCATCAAGCCACAGAAGAATATGCGCATCATAACAATGAAGAGCAAAGCAGGGACCGAAGGGTGAAGAGAGCACATGTGATTATGGAGCTGAGTCTAGCAAACTATCTGCATACATAGAGCCCGGTATCTCCGATTTGAGTATCAAAAGCCGGTCGGGTGGCGCAATGGTAGCGTGTGGTCCTCCTATTACAGCAGGTTCCAGACTGAGGTTGTGGGTTCGAGTCCCATCTCGATCGTGTATTCTTTTGCCAAATTTTCATTTTTGCTGCTCCACCAATTTCATTAACATAACTCGTACGTCTAACAAGGACGTTCATGATACCCGGGGATGGTATTTCTAATGCGTAAAATTGCATTTAGTGCGGTTTTTTTTATAGTCATCATAATAAATACCCCTTTCCTCAATGTGATGTACCTCAATTCTTCCCCTGCAGCAACAGTACGGGGCAAGGATTGTCACAGGATACTTGGGTAAATAGCTCTCTTGATGTTTTAATAGTTAGTATCTGTGGCCAAACTTGGATACCTTTCTTGGATTAAAACTGGAATCGAACCTCAAGTACTCGTAGTTCATTACTGTCATGGGTCAAAGTCAACTTCCAATTTTGGCACGGCGTCATCAACATCGAATCTGCCCGGTGACTCTGCATACTGTACGGCATGCGGTCCGTCCGCCTTTGACACCGTTATTGGAACGTAAGCCGGCTGATCGATCGAAGCGGCCGACAAGCGGAACTCCGCCAGCGGGAACAAAGAACTAGCTGCTAACCGCAGATCCAACTTGACATTGGCTGCCGACACTGGACGACAGCAGTTGGACAAGCTTGATTCCAGTCGAGTCTAGTTGAGTCGAGCCGACTCGACTTCCTATTGTAGCATAGCTCTTGTGCGACCTTGCACTTACCAGATGTCTGTCTTTCTCAGCAAGACAGTAACCATCTAAGAGAATCCATACACCACGCAATCACATTTCCCCCTCTCTTTCACTTCCCCTATTCCCCAGACTCTGCAACTTCTACGGCGGACCTCTTAACCATAATCTAAGCACCAAGACATCCAAACCAAACCTGAGAACCATGTCCTCTCCCAATGAGCTCTTCTGGGCAGCGCGTCACCCGCCCGCGGACCCAACCACCACCACCCCCTTCCACAACAAAACCATCCTCGTCACCGGCGCCAACTCGGGCCTCGGCCACGACGCCGCCACCAAATACGCCTCCCTAGGCGCGAACCCGCTCACCCTCGCTGTGCGCACCCCCGAAAAAGGCGCCGCCGCCGCCAAGGGCGCCATCGTCGCCGCCACCGGCTGCTCCCCCGACATCTTCATCATCGAGACCTTCGACCTCGCCAGCTTCTCCTCTGTCCAGGCATTTGCCGAGAGAGTCATTGCTCGCGTCCCGGCTCTGCACGTCGTCCAGGCTCGCGGGGGGATTGCCATCCCGGGCTTTGGGAGAAGCGAAGATGGGTATGAGATGGCGTTTCAGGTGAACGTGCTTGCTAACGCGCTGCTGGGGATGTTGTTGTTGTTGCCCAAACTGCAAGAAACGTCCGCCACAACAGCTGTGGCGGGCAGGTTCGTGCCTCATCTCTCCATAGTTAACAGCATCGCCTACGTCGAGGTCAAGCTTGAATGGATCGCGGCTGACGAGACGCTGATCGAGCGGATTAACGACGAGAAGCGGTTCGATATGAACAGCCAGTACTGCATGGTCAAGCTGGCGGGGATGTTTGTCGTGCGGGGGCTGGTGGAGCAGCTGGCCGCCGCCGGGGGTGGTGGCAATGTGGTGGTGGTGAACGCGTCGTGCCCGGGCATGTGTGCAAGACCAACATGGGCCGCAACCATCCGCTGGTGTTGCGGCTGTTCATGGTGGTGTTTTATTTCATCTTTGGAAGGTCGGCGGAGCTGGGGAGTCGGACGCTGGTGAGCGCGACGGATCTGGGGGTCGAGAGCCTGGGGCGGTTTTGGACGAAGGATGAGTTTTTGCCGTGAGTATCTGCTGCTTCTGGTCTTGTGTTTCTGGTGGTTGCTCTTTGTGTTGCTGACCAACTGTACACAGGCCGAGCGCGTTTATGGAGAGTGACCGTGGTAACCAGATGTACCGCGAGACGTGGGAGGAGATCAAGACCATCTTGCGGAAGCATGTCAGCTGGAGCTTATCTGAACTTTCCGCTGAGGATGCCACGCATAGTGTCAGTTGTTACAGAATCGTTGCAGCCAGCTGTCAGCAAACAAATAAGAAACACATCAGAAATCGGACAAGTGTAACGTATGGGAAGAGCCCATTATCTCCATTGCTATGTGGACTCGCCTCTGATCAGACCAAGAAACCGCTCCATCTAGCCCCTCCCTCTTCCAAAATAACAGCACCACACTGGTATCCGGCATGACATTATGATGCCTCACCACATCAGCTGGGCGTCCAACCACGCCCTCGGAGTACTCGATGTCGTAGTTGGTCAGCAAATGGACAAACATGAGCTTAGTGACATCCTGCGCGAGGAAGCGTCCAGGACAGGTATGCGTCCCGCTGCCAAAGGGCAACATGTCATCCGAGACGGACGCAAAGTGAGAATTATTAGCATCCTCGCCCTCGCGCTTGTGCAAGAAGCGCTTTGGGTCAAACTGCGCGGCGTTGGGACCCCAGAAGTCGGGATCCTTACTGATGAGTTCGTTGGGCAGAGAGATCTGAGTGCCTGCCGGCAGGTGAAGGCCGTCGTTGAAGGTGAAGGGTTTGACGGCTATGCGCTGGAGGGTGACTGTTTTAGTCAATCATGTATGGTTAGCGTATGTCATCAGTTGTGGGCTGGTTGCAGGAGGAGTTCTATGCGGTGTTTGGCTCCAACATACGTTGCTGGAGTGTATGAACCCGTTGGCTCTCTTTCATGAAGCTGTCGAGGACGCGCAGCGCCGCCAAAGAGTGGCGTGTCCAGGCGCCGTGCTCGCGCTTGACTTGTTCGACCTCTGTCCGTATCTCGGCTAAGGAATGGGGATGGTTGATAAGGTCGTAGAGGATGGAGAGGGCCGTGGCTGCGCTGCTGTGAATAGAGGCGATAATGATGATGAACTCGTCGAGCGCGAGCTTGTCTGGCGTCAGCTCCTTTCCAGAGCCATGGTATTCATCCCAGAGCCATTGCACCCCGTCTGCATACTCGCCCTCGCCGGCTTTACGGGCCTCCAAGACCGGACATAGCAGCTCTCCGGCCTTGTACCGGAGCTTGTAAACTTGCTTGACATCCGGGTCGAAGTAATTTGCCAGCCACCTCGTGTAGGGCCTGTACCGTGCTCTGACGCTGTATGATGCTTTGAAGACGGCGTTGGTGAAGTCAATGACCAGGTCCAGCCATTCGTGATTGTTGCAGAGCTCTGATCCAATAAATAGACGTGCTGTGATGCGTATGAAGATCTTGAGCAGGAGTGGGAAAGTGACGATTGGAGTCCAATCTGGGACGGTAGTCAAGTTAGTCAGTCGAACATGCTCCAGGCCAGTGGAAAAGAGGCAAAATGAAGAGTAGACTAGAGCATTGTTAAAAGTGAAGCAAGTACCTTGACAATCGGGCATCAACTCCTTGTATGCCACAAGACACTGCTCTTGCATGTGTGGGATCAGCTCAGCTGTGTTAGTATTAGTACCCTTGTCCATGCTCCCGGTAGAGTATCGATGGAACATGACCCACTAAGAGATCGGTTCACAGCCAATCTGACCACCTTGATTGCCTCATCGGTCATTATGGGCCCGCCAATCTCGTTGACAACGGTAGACTGGGATCCCTATGAGTTAATGGTGCGCTCAAGCTTCCAAGGTACAAAATGTCGCTCACTTTCGCAACAGAGAGAGGGAAGCTTAGCTGGCTGTATGGCGCACTGCGGACTTCCTTGAGATACTTCAGTGACAGGTTCACCAAGGGCCGGGCGAGATCGATCTGGTTGAGCATGGCGAACGGCTTTCCCTCCCTGGTATACTAAAGATGATGGGCCAACGATCAGCGTACGCTGGAACTGGGAATGCAAGCGACCTTACGTGTTTGTAGCCCCTTCGCATGAGATTCCTAGTGTCGCTGAGATAGCGCGTCATCGTGTTCCTCTCGTAAAACTCTATGTAAGGCACGTCGGCTGTCTGCCTTGCCATCAGGAACTTCCGCAGCAGCCATGCTATGCCGACAGCCACGGTTGTAGAAAGAAGCGCGGCGAGCATCCTGGGTTCGGTGCCAGTGGTCATGGTGAAATCTAATTTCTGTTGCTTGATCGCGCTGGTAGGAACCACTAGGTGGTGCTTAACTCGAGCTCAAAGTCTGCAAATGAAACAGGAAATGTTTGCAAAAGGTAATCGTTTGTTGCTGATGGAGGGCGAGCAGACGCCGCAGTATTCCTTCGTGTGGGATTGGGTGGAGGATTGGAGGCAAGCATGTAAGGCGTGGAGTCGCTGCTTATGGCCATCCATGGGTACGGTACTTGATCCAATGGTGATTGTGTCCCATCAAAGACTGACTCCGCTGACCCTGAGGGACTTGGACACAGTGTTCGTGTTTGGCACTGGTTAAATGTCGTATAGCGTCATCCCGAACAGTGTGGATTGTTCCACCATTCATCTTCCAACAAGGGCGGTTCAGAGCGGCCGGAGACAAGGGCGGCGCGCCCAACGTGCGTAGCCCGACCGGCCACGGAAGCATCCCCTCGCAAGGAAGCGGACGCAGATGGCCCTGTTGCCGGCGACGGGCACAGCGACGGGCCACAGGAAGAGTTGCATGTTGACAAAATCGTTTCTTGTAGTAGTGGTCGACAGGCTCGTGGCTCAAGTGCTGAATATATGGGCAGCTTGTCTGTCACTTTAACTGCTCAACCCAGTGCTGCTTCTCGACATGAAGCGAACATCGTCAATGTCCCTCTCGCGCAGAAGCTGGTCCGCGTCAAAGACAATCTCAACCATGATGGCCTCTTTGCACGGCTCGCCATTCAGCGTCTTGAACCTCGTACGCGCCGCAACGATGGCACTCTGCAGCTGGTGGTAGTGCGTCCACGTCTCGTCGAAGCCCTTCTTGTCAGCCTTCTCCAACAGCTGTATGGCGTCCTCAGCTCTGAAATCGCCTTGGATCGATAGAAGCTTGCATGTCCACTTGGACCCCACCAGCGGGCCTCCAACAGCAAGATACACGCACACATGCTGCGGTGGATCAGCTGTCTCGTCCTTAAATATGATGACGCCTCGGGGACTGACGACGTCAGTTCGTGGAAAGTCGA